AGATACCTTTAAATGAGTATCTCACATTTGTATTGTCAAGGAGTGCACTGCAAGGATCACAACTCTGGGTGGAATCACTTCGAAAACCAAGGCCACCGTACCAACAATCACCTGGAAGGATGGCACAACAAGATAAAGAAACTTGCCAAGAAGTGCCACCCGAACATCTACGAGGTAGTGAAGCTATTTCAGCGAGAGCAGTCACTCAAAGAGGTTGCAGTCCTGAGACTCTCTCACCAGTGGTCAGAACCTTCGCGAAGAAAGAAGTACAAGGCAATCGATGCACGTATTGCGTCTCTCAAGATCCAGCTCCTGAACCAACACCTGAGTGAGATGGAATATGCTGACCACGTGGGCGACCTCCTTCATCTGCAGTTATGATCCATTATGATATTCATATGCTATTCAATATATATCCTTGTTGAATAAGAAATGAGAAAACAAGACTTGTTTTGTTATATACGGTAACCTGTTAGAATCACAAAGCATGTTTTGACAGCATAGCCGTGAGAGCCACATTATACAATCACGCAACCATAACCATTGCCGGGAGAGCCACATCAATTTGGGCTATCTATTTTCGAAATGTGGCGTTGCCGGCCTGTAACCGCTTAGCTAAGTCGCTTATGTATTTGCTCTGATGTAATTAATTAGTGATCCTTGTCAGTGCAGAATTGGCTTATTTGATCCTTTTATTGTCATCTATTGGTACAGTTAGTTGTTAGTAATAAGCCGGAGAACCTATTTCCACGTTTTCATTATTACTTTGTTCTTTTTGAATGACACCCCTGGAGAACAGCTCCGTGACATTTGGACTTGATAGTCATGGTTGTGGGTGAGCTTTGAGAGAGAGTATTGTTAAACAGTGCGCGGGTTGAGGTCGAATTGTGATACCTAGCATGGATGTTCATCGGCCTGTTTATTACGATATTTGACCTCAAGTGGTTCTCACCCACAGCAAACATATGAGACGTAAGAATCTGGAGCTGTACCCAAATGAGGAAAGTCTTGGTCCATAGCTAAACTTGAACTGCTCAAGGCAATGTTAGAATGGGATGACATCATCAGGCTCTGGCCCTGCTTCATATCATCTTACTCATGGTTTGATTGCATGCACAGGAAAGCAACTTTGTTGAATTCAAGACGAACACTGGCCTCTACTTTTCCAAGTCTGCAAACAAGTTTCACATATTTAATATTTATGACATATATTTTATTTCACCGAATACAAACCTGAATGTGATTGCCAAATACAGTACCATAATTTTCGCTGCTTGCATTTGCCCAGTTCAAAAACACTGTCATGTCTGATTTCAATCATTTCCCCTCAAATGTGAGTTTTTTTATAAATGAATTTCGAATACAGAACCATAATATCAAACTAATTCACTCACCCTGCCATGCATGTGCAATGTGAACACTCAACTTTACAACATTGATCAAGTCCAATCCAGGCTTCATGTGGGTTTTCACTTACAACCTGTCACCTGTAAACTTACAAAACAATGTATTTCGACACGCACGCACGCACGCACGCACGCACGCACGCACGCACGCACGCACGCACGCACGCACGCACGCACGAATTCGAATTCGAAGGGATTCTTACTAGTCACATAACTGTTCGAGAAATGCACTAAGCTGTACGGGTGATAGTCGGCTTTGTTACAAAGCACGAAGCATAGGTAAACATGCAATTACTTCTTCAGTTTTTGAATTTCTGCGCATACATCTGGGACCCCAAATCATTTGAGTTTATTTATTTGTTGTTTAACGCCGCAATATTCCAGCGAATAAAATAACACCAAGATCTCGACAATACAACTAATATTTTCACACTGTGAACATACAGATAACTTGTCATAAAACTGTGTGGTCGATAGCCCAGCTGCATGCATCTTCCTGAGGTAAGAGCGTCCATTAGCCCTTTTATCAAAGTCTTGTTTCCCCCCTTGGATCGCATGTATCGACAGTCCAATCAGATTGTTTGTTTGTTTGTTGTTTTACGCCGCACTCAGCAATATTCCATCTATATGACGGCGGTCTGTAAATACCAGACAATCAAGTGATTGATATCATGAGCATCGATCCACGCAATTGGGAATAGATGACATGCAGCAAACAAGTCAGAGAGCCTGACCACCCGATCCCGTTAATCTCCTTTTACGATAAGCATAGTCGCCTTTTACGGCAAGCATGGGTTGCTGAAGACCTATTCTACACCGGACCTTCACGGGTCCAGTCCAATCAGAGATCGTTGTTTCAGTCCAGTCAGACATCGTTTCACAAAACCAACATCCACGAGTGGCACACCTTCGTATGAAAGTGATTTATGTCTGGAATATGTCTTTTCCATCTTTTAAACCCCCCAACTATTGCCTATGTTTTTGTTTCAGGGATTAAATCGCGAATGTTTTCGTAGTCTGATAGACTTGGTCGTCGACTATGGTAGTCGTCATCTTTTGTGTAGCAATACCAGATAAGAACAGCGATCTGATTGGATATCGTGTTTTCAGTACAAAGTTCACAACTCAGGATCTACGCGATGTGGCGCCAGGGTCAAGCCAAGAAAGGTGGCCTTGGTGTGGCAAGGGAAGCAACTAGGCTTTGATATAGGCTAGTGGACACGCTTGCCTCGTGAAAATGAGCTCCATGAAAACGTTTTACACATTCACGTGACGCGAGCACTGAGCAAGATACCTTCAAAGTACCCTCGGTGTTTGTAGCATTTGTCTGATAGAATTTCTCTGAACCCATCCACATTCAAATAAAGCAAGGAAACAAGTGAGTAGGGCTCACTGAAACCCTCGACCTCGACTTCAACATCAGCTGAAGATCAGTTTGGATATCAGAGATAAACTGATGCTTTAACGTTTGAGCCAGTTTCTCCTAAAACGCACAACAATATAACAATGTAATCACATGTTTCAAAGATGCACCGGTGCATCATCGGCAAGCTTTTCCCCTTTAGTTGGGCGTATAGAAAATATTTCTAAGTTCAAAACGCGTAAAAAGCAATATTTTCACAAATGGAATGCAAATTTTGCACTACACGTCTCCTATTGGTATAGACACTGGACCCCAAATTGGAAGGAATCCATGAAGTTATAGCTCACACGAATGTTGAAATAAAACACATAAATAAGTTCAAAACATGTAAAGATTCATTATTTCTTTCAGAAAGTACACATACCAAATCAAACTTTGCACTGCATCTCTCCTGTTAGTTGAGAACATGTTCCTTAAATTTGAGTGAGTGAGTGAGTATGGTTTTACGCCGCTTTTAGCAATATTCCAGTAATAGCACGGCGGGGGACACCAGAAATCGGCTTCACACATTGTACCCATGTCGGGAATCGAACCCGGGTGTTCGGCGTGACGAGCGAACGCTTTAACCACTAGGCTACCCGACCGCCCCTCCTTAAATTTGAAAGGTAATTTTGAATGTTGAAGTAAAATAATTCTGAGACATATATTAGTAAAAATAATAATAATAACTCTATGTTCTTCTGAAAATCAATTTATTTAATCATACTTCGCACTGCACCTCATATATTGATAAAGAAAGTGTTCAGTTTGAACTGAATATATAGTTGCTTTTATGTTATAGGTCTCAAATAGAAATTGAATGCCTTGGTATTACTATATTCCCCTACGCTTTTAGATCGGTGGGAATAATAAAAGCCTCCAAAGAATGGAATAGGCGCAGGGTGAATCGATGAGGTAAGTGTACAGATCACCATATTGTAGACTTTGCCATTTTATCACAATCCAGCGCTTGCTAATAATGTCTGATTCATCGTCCAAAGAAAATCCGAGAACATTATATTTCTCTTCGCAACAAAGTCTGTCTGGGGTTGATAGACTTTTGTAGTAAGCGCTCATCGGTATTTGGAAGATAGCACAGTTAAACTTGTAGACTGATGTTGCCGACGTCACGGCTACTTCCGTGTTATTTTGCCCTACGAACGATACGCATGCGCGGACGGACACGGAAGTACCTGGCAGCTGAAAGTCATGTATAGGGTAAATTAGTTTAAAGTGCAAAAGTCTGTTTATAACTTATGTAAAGCACTTTCCTTCAGTTGTTATGAGATGAGAACCTCGGTTTTATCTCTCGGGTGCGGGTTTTAAATCGCAAAAAAACCTAGGACGTGCGTAATACTTCACTGAATATAAACTTCTAGTGACGTATTCTGTTGTTCTTCGTCAGGTTAAATCTCATTCACGGGATGTTGCATTAACCCCTGTACTTTAAATATACCAGTTTCAGTGATATTGTAAAATGTGAATGTCCCTCGCTTGAGATATATTTTGGATTTTGAACACAAGGAACATAAGTAAATGGCGGAATGATGTAAAATCAAATGTTTTCTGCAGAGTTCAGTGGTTCCAACTTGCAACCTTCATAACTGTCGTCTTGTGAGTAAGGAGAACAAATATTTTACGCCCGTTTCCCAACGTTCATGGAAAATAATGTTTGAAACATAAAACTATCAATAGATGTTGTTTCAGAATTTGTTTCCGATTTATAAGATAGAGAAAACACTTCTCGTATTTTCTGAGATTTTAAATCCTCATCCTCGGAAAAAATCTCCGGCTAAGCCCATCGGTTACATCTTTCGGCTACGGGCTATAAATCCTATATACACCCTTTGGATGTGTATGATAAAAGCTTGATCCAACCTACCTACCAAACACGACAAAACTCTTTCCATGGCCACACGGAATTGCGTAATGTGAAGGAATTGCGCGATACGAAAATAACAGAGACTACCTTCTATGTTTTTATGGTTAGCTATTTGCCTTTGAGTTTAAATGAGTTAATGAAGCAAAAGATGTGTTTACTTTATTTCAATAGCTGCCCCGGTAAGTACATAATCGTCCCATACATCTAAGGCCCCAAACAATTTTGCCGAAATATTCCAGCTGACAGACGACGGCCTGTAAAAACATCGAAACAATCCAGTGAATGGCATCATGAGCATCGATTTGAACAATTGTGATACGATGGCTTGCATAAGTTTAGTCAGCGAGCCTGATCTCCCGATCTCGATAGTCGCCTCTTACGACAAGTAAGGGTTGCTGAAAACCAATTTTACTCGGGATCTTCACGGGTAAAAAAACCCAAGTTATAATCTAGAATTTATTGAATTATAATCCACAACGCTACTTTATATGGGTACAGTTGTATAAAGGGGTACCGACAGATTATGTAGGTGGTCTTCGTTCTGTGCGGGTAAGTACCCCATCACCCGGTACAGAGGCTGACATATTTTGTCAATGAGGGATACCTGCGTGTATGTCAAACCCTGCCGCCAGCGGGAAATCGCGTCCTTAGAGTTCCTTTGTGTGCAATAGGAACCGCAGTCACTGCTTCCGTTTGTGATACGGTGGATGTAATGTCTGATCTCGTCAGTTAAGTCAAGGCCAATGAAACTGTACATCTGTTCAGCAATTAACATGGGCTTGTCGGCTAAATCTTCGTACCGAATCGTGGCAATACGGCCTGGATACTGCTTCTTCATGAACAGGGCTTGGTCAAAATCCCTCTTTGCCCTGTTACAAAGCACCGCTGCAAATGTACCTAGGCTCTCGACCGTGAATTCGTCGAGTTTGCCCTGAGAAAGTAGAGTTGGCCTTGGGTCACGTATCAAATGTAGTATTTTCATATGGTCATGTTTCCCCATGAGGTGCGTCATATCGTTCATGTTGTATCGGATCGTTTTTACACATGATACACGTGACCTGACACACGCCTTTTCCAGCAAATGAAGGCAGGCTTCCGAATTTCGGCGTTGTTCCATTGTGCAAAAGTAGTAACTCATTGTGTCCAAACTGTCAATCATATGGTGTTGGTGTAAAGTGTGAGTGTCTATCTCAGTCAGGTTGCAGACCAGGAAATCCTCCAGCGTCGATTCACTGAAAGCAAGGACGAGATGAGGTGGTAACATGGTAAAGAGTCACCTCTAATACAGCTGTTACGTATGTTGTTGTAGGTTCCGCAACTCACTTAGGATGAGTAATGCTGTTCCGCACATAAACCAAACATGATTTAATAGACCTATATTTTAAGTGCAGTATTCATAACATTGTATGTAAATGGGGGCTGCAGTAATATCATTTATCGCCCATCAAATGTATGGGCAATCTATAAAATAGTATGAGTGAGTGAGTGAGTTGGGTTTAACGCCGCTTTTAACAGTATTTAACTTTTCAAAACCTGGTCTATGTCCCACCTATCGCAATTCTGAGTTACTGAGTTTGACCTGTCGTATGGTTAAAACAGCAACATAATATCATCAAACACATTTTAGCTTAGCTTTATTACGGTTAAAGCAACATTGGTACCTACTACGTTTTAGAATACTCAAGGGCATCAAGTGAGCTCTGATTGATTAATCTTGAATAGGAATACAACGGCTCAAAGACGTAGAACACATCCGGGCTCCTCTGGATGATTTCACCGGTGAAAGATGACCCACTGCGCATGTACGTCAGAATGACCACCATAGTCTTCTGACCTTCCGCCAGCATATGACCTGAAATCAAGTACCTCAAAACGAGGTAGACATATTTCGGATAGACTCTGATCCACACTGATTGATAAAATATTGCTGACTGGGGCGTAAATTCACTTATCTACGTCAAGGGATGATTAAGGAATGAACGTACTCGTTCAAGGTGAGTATACCCGAGAAGTTAGTTATCGATTCAAAGCTTCGTGGCTTTCTTTCTTTCTAAAGGAGAATGCAGATCCCACTTACTCCAAGCATGCAACACCCCGGGCAGTGAGTGAGTTTGGTTTAACGCCGCTTTTAACAGTATTACAGATGTATCGCAGTGTGCCAGCTTAAAGTGGGAGGGCAGCCCGAAGTGAAGCAGGTCTGAGACGTTTACCAGTTTGGTTAAACCCACGAGCGCGGGTATGGTACTGACAAACCTAGAAACATATTCGGGGAGAACCGGGATTCGAACCCACAATCATAGGTTTGAGGCGTGCCCAAGGGACGCAACTCTGCAAAGCGAATCGCCGCGGCTGAGTCGACTGGGCCACCCGTGCCCCCTACTCGCGAGAGACCGCCCAAGACTGTCAAATGAGGATCGTCAAGTGGCATTCTCAACCACCATAGATACATTATTCAGGATCACACCCGCAATGAGATGTCTCCCTGGAATTTGGCGCCGGAACCAGCAATAGTCATGCTACATCACAGAGTGATGAAGATGTTTGAGTCTGCACCAAGCAAAACCATGACTTAGAGAATGAGCACCACCCCAGACCACACACGTCACAGAATCTAAACCGATCCAGAGATCACGACAAGCCGCACGGTGATGGAGTGCTGCTGTAACCCGGGTCCTCACGGTGTTACAGAGAGTTCAGAATCTGGAGCACGCATTGACTCTTACATCTATCGTTACCTTTGTTGTTTTCACGTACAGTAAAGTACGGTTATAACGAACTCAAAGGGACTACTAATTTTAGTTCGTTATAACCGTAGTTCGTTATAAGCATAACTACAGCAAATGGTCGGGACCAAAAAAGTAAGTTCGTTATATCCGTCAGTTCGATATAAGCGTGTTCGTTATAACCGTATTTTACTGTACATAGAACAGAGCAGATGCTACTAAAAGGGCACTTGGAGCCATCACTTTAAAAGTGACCGTGAGTTAAGGTTTTGGTGTGTGTCACATCTTTACTGATCCCTATTAGAGATTCGAATATGAAAGACCCTTCCATGGAGCCCTCTTGGTTTTGTTAAATGAATTTATAAATTATATACCTTTTTAAAACAATTTCCTCCGAAAAAGTTTTTATCATAATAATATATATATATATATATATATATAATATATAATATACATGTATATCACTTGAGAATGGCATAGATCATTGATACATTATTTTCATAAATACTTCTCTATAAATGCTGTTGTGAGTTTTGACAATTTCTCCATGTCCTCCGGAAATATAAATACATCAACACTTACAGTAGAGCTTTCTTAACTCGGAGCCATGTACCATCGATATATCGCAAGTTTATCTATATAGTCCAAGAAATCGTTGAAATAAGGTACCGTTCCAATTTTAGACGGTAGTGACGATCAGGAGTATGGGGGGACAACATAGGTACACTGGCTCAAACAACAATCGGTAGTGGAGTTAGAGACAGCTGATTCAGGATAGACACATATACACATATACATACCGTTAATACTAGATCCAATTTGAGTCAATGTTTTCAATCGGTGCTGCGGGTTTCCCTCAGTGTATCCTGAAATTTACTATCACTTTTCTGAATGATAAACATAGGAGTCACACAAAACGTGTTTTTCTGTTGACGTTTAGACAGTGTGGTTATAATCCTGATCATCACAATAACCAAACAGTTTCTGATTTCGAGTATCTTGAAATCAACATAAGTACGCTTGAATTTATATAGCAAAAGGAACTCTGTTGTCGACTTTGCACATCGTTCTTGCTCCACCTGTTACGCCAGGAAACCGAACATAGATTTAAAGTATCGAATGCAGCAACATTAGGTCGAGTGGCTGCCCTAGCAACGCAAGTAAAAGGTAGTGGACACTGGTTTGTCTCTAATACGACAATGTATTATTTCAGCATACTTACTAAGGAGGACTAGGGTTGATGTAATGGACACTGGTTTGTCTCTAATACGACAATGTATTATATCAGCATACTTACTAAGGAGGACTAGGGTTGCTGTCATGGACACTGGTTTGTCTCCAATACGACAATGTATTATATCAGCATACTTACTAAGGAGGACTAGGGTTGATGTAATGGACACTGGTTTGTCTCTAATACGACAATGTATTATATCAGCATACTTACTAAGGAGGACTAGGGTTGTTGTCATGGACACTGGTTTGTCTCCAATACGACAATGTATTATTTCAGCATACTTACTAAGGAGGACTAGGGTTGCTGTCATGGACACTGGTTTGTCTCCAATACGACAATGTATTATATCAGCATACTTACTAAGGAGGACTAGGGTTGCTGTCATGGACACTGGTTTGTCTCCAATACGACAATGTATTATATCAGCATACTTACTAAGGAGGACTAGGGTTGCTGTCATGGACACTGGTTTGTCTCCAATACGACAATGTATTATATCAGCATACTTACTAAGGAGGACTAGGGTTGCTGTCATGGACACAGCTGCCAGAATCAACATGGTCATCAGTGCCCTGTTCTTGAACACACAACGCCGAGTTGAACTGGAATCAGAGGAAGGTCTGAGAATAGTTCCTTCAAGTTGTTGACTCTGACTCGTCAGAAGCCTTACTGTTAAGTTTGAGCACACATGACGTACCCTTGGCTGTGATAACACCATTTATGCCGTGGAATGTTTTGTTTAAAATATACGCCGAGTCAGTAAACATACACTACTCTGCCGACGCTAAGAATGAAAATAGCAATGTGATCGTACTCCTGACTAAAACATGATATTGATTAATGTGTATGGAGCGAGAATCGCCTCTTTAACCTATCCGAGGGCACAGCAGGGAAAAATAATTTTGATCAGTATTTGCCAAAATAATTATCCTCATGTGTGTGTCATGAAACGTCACGGCATTGGATTGTAAACTACGTTTGTCCATGCATTGGGTTATTTTGGTTGCACGTGAACGCCCTGCCCGTGGGTTTCATCACACAGATCTTTGTGTTCGAATGATCTTGAAACTAACCTCTAACCTAGAAGAAGTAAGGAACGCTACAGTGAATGGGTTTCGTGACGTCAAATCGGAATTAGCAACAACAGTTTTGAAACATAATGTGATTGCTACCTCCTCTGACAACCTGCAGTCTCAGACCTCATGTCGGTGATATGAAATTCAACTTTATTGAGGGGCAGACGAAAGTATACCGAGTTTCTTTTTTATGTAATTAAAAATTAAACCAAACTATTGTTAGATTTGATTATTTCTATTAAACTATCACTCATTCCTGCAACATTTCCAAATAAGTAAACTGTGGCTGAGTAATTTTATTCAAAAATAAACTGTCATCAGCAGTTGTGATTATTTATAATTTTTGAAAGATGTTAATCAAGTTATATTTTTAAGCGAGTGAGTGAGTATGGTTTTACGCCGCTTTTAGCAATATTCCATCAGTATCACGGCGGGGGACACCAGAAATGGGCTTCACACATTGAACCCATGTCGGGAATCGAACCCGGGTCTTCGGCGTGACGAGCCAACGCTTTAACCACTAGGCTACCCGACCGCCCCTATATCTTTTAGAATAATATCATGTAGAAATATTCTGAGTGCTGACTGAGCGTAATTACAGTTAATATTTTGGATAAAATATCCCTATATTTTCAACTGAATAGTAAATACATGATAAGATAAACTGAGAAGAATTATTTCTTTGGCTGCTGTACGCTGATATATATTGATGCTGTTTCGGATAAAGAACATGTAGACCTTACAACATTTTTATTCTTTGTAAAGATGCGTCAAGGCTATTTCAGGTCGAACCTTCATCAGATGAACTCATTGGCAAGGACGGCAACCCTGCAAGGAATAGGTTACGTAACTTTGTCAGGAACATGTAACGTGTGAAACGTGCCAACCAGCTGACGTTATCCGTGCCCATCGTCTTGGCATGAAACGTCAATATATTAACATGTTGAATATAGGGGACCGTGATGTTGTCATCTAATAAAATACTTCTGAGCAAGCTCGCTCCTTGTTTGTTTAGATTATACAGATAATATGAAAGACGGAACAAGACGTGTGACTGACCAAAATAATGAAGCATATTTAATGTCGAATGTACGATTGTTAGACGAAGTGTTCGAAAAACATTGACAGCACTGAATACCCCCATTGCTCGTAACCAAACAACTCAAAATGTGGCGATCTTGCACGATCAGTTCCCGCTCCTTTTGCGATCCAAGGTGATCAGGATGCGATCCAATGGCGCTCTATTTACGCTCCGATGGCAATCTAATGCACTCTACTCAGTCCGAGAGCGATCTAGCGTCATATCGCTTGGTAGCAAAGTGGTAGGTCCCAGTCTTTCGTGGCGATCGGCGGCGCTCTAAGGTGATACGATAGCGCTCTGGTTACGACCTTGGCGATCACGTAGCGCTCCGATGGCGCTCTATTTACGCTCCGATGGCGATCTAATGCACTCTACTCCAATCCGAGAGCGATCTAGCGTCCTATGGAGATCCATTCGCTCTATGGGATCCTATTGCGACCTGATCGCCGAATTTTGGGTCCGATCCGTAGCGTTCTGAGGCGCTCATCAGATCTACGCTTGGTAGAAGAGGGGTAGGTCCCAGTCTTTCGTGGCGACCGGCGGCGCTATAAGGTGATACGATAGCGCTCTAAATACGACCTTGGCGATCACGTAGCGCTCCGATGGCGATATGGGCGATCAAGAAACGATCTGACGGCATTCTGGGCAGAGCGCCACAGGTCTTTGTGCAGGGACGTCGACAGACGGCGACCTTGACGATCATGGAGATCAGACAGCGATCCTTTAACGCTTTTGGAGATCTTAGCGCTCTAAATGGCGATCTATGGCGATTTGTAAGAGCGTCACAGAGCGCGGCTTAGTGGAATGGGGGTATAACGTACTGATTCATACAGAAATATTTGTTGCAAAGAGAAAAATGAATACAAAGCAATCTGCAGAAAGTATAAATCTGTTACGCGTATGTGGCTAAAAACCCAGTGACTGTCCACTGCCCTTCTAAATAATTTATATTTGAGATAATTACGAACATTAGAACTTGGTCAAATACATAATACATGCCCAAAGATGACTTTAAGAAAATTGTTTTCGAATGATGTTGCATTTACCAATTCTATTAATGATAGTGATGTACATGACGATGTGAAGGAAGCTTCCTCTGCATGTTTCACTGATGTCGATTCACTTATAGTTAATTTCATTGATTGAAGTCTGCAAAATAGCAATGATAATAACGCTAGAGAATAAACAGTGTTTTCACCGTTATTTGGTCTTTTCCGCCTAATGGAATCTGTTTCGCCGGATAATCGAGTCTTTTTATTCTCTGGCTTTGGCGTTTTATATTGTAATTTTGCGCTACTTAATCAATGACATGACACACCAACATGAACGTAACGCAGTAATAACTACGTGGATTTACGAGAACGCGGATTGCCTAATCCTGGCATCACATACTTTATCATTTATCTCATTTTCTTTTTATTCCATATTTCATTTCCCATCAAATCGTACATGTCAATGTCATACATAGAGTGTGCATGGAGTAATTGTGACATGTGCATGTTTGTAGCATGGACTAATCATATTTCACAGTTATACGGGTTTTGTAAACAATACAACGCCATGGATACTTGCATCATTACAATTTGAATATGCAACATGTTTTGTAATTTCACAATATCTACGATTTTCGTTTTGAATTAGTGAGAAGATTGGTTTAACTTTTTTTTCTATTAAATGTGTACAGCAGAGATTTTGTTACCATAATATCTACATTGCGTGAATTGTTATTCTTCTCTTTCAATCCAAACAGTTTGTGTTTATTACTAAAATTAACTGTGTAGTTTCCAGGCCAATCTGAAAGTTTCGTCCATATATCTGCAACATAGTGACATTCACATAATATACTACTCAAAAGAAGTTAAGGGTCAAATAATTTATTGTCTGTAAAATTTCAGATTTCATATGCTGGTGTAAATAAAAGACACAGTAACAGTTGCCAATCACTGCTGAACAAGAGCGGCAAAATCATTCAACAGTGGCGACATCGGTACAAACGGCCCACCACTTGTGAATAACAGGGGGTCAAAAACACACGTCATGCCATGTCAATAGCGAGTAAAACCGCCCCTTGTTGTCGCATACTGTCAATTAAGCGTCGAAAGAACTGTTGGGGGATAGCCTGCCACTCTGCTTGAAGGAATTGTGTCAGTTCTTGCAGATTTACAGGTTGCCGTTGATTGTTTGCGACACGTCTACCACAGTCGTCCCAGGCGTGTTCAATCGGTGCCAAATCTGGTGAGTACGCTGGCCAATCCATTCGTTGCACACCGTTTTGTGCCAAGAAATCAGCTACCACCCGAGCCCGATGAGGTCTGGCATTGTCGTCCTGCAAAATGGCGCCACGTCCAATTTGACGAAGTGCAGGAAGAACAAGGGGTTGAATAATCTCGTCCCTATACCGGATTCCTGTCAGATTACCCTGAACGACGTAAAGAGATGTCCTGTGGTGAACAGAAATTCCAGCCCACACCATCACTGAGCCTCCACCATATCTGTGACGTTGTCTGACGTTGACGTCGGCAACCGTTCCCCAGGACGACGTGGACACGAATTCTGGCATCGTTGAACTGCAGTGCAAACCGGGATTAGTCTGTGAAGAGCACTCTCTGCCATTCAGGGTGTGTCCAGCGTCTGTGACGTCTACACCAGTCTGCACGTGCTCTACGATGATGTTGCAGAAGAGGTGGCCGAACTGCTTGGCGCCGTGACCGGATGTTGTTGGCCCGTAGTCGGTTACGGATTGTCTGGTCAGACACTTGGGTTCCTGTTGCAAAGCGCAGTGCATCTCTAAGATGTCTTGCTGTGACAGTTCGTTGACGCAATGCCAGGTTTGTGACATACCGGTCTTCACGTTGTGAAGTTGACCTGGGTCTTCCAGAACGAGGGCGATTTTGAATGGAATTGGTCATTTGAAATCTCTGCCACAGTTTACCAATCACACTTTGGCTACAACTGATTCTCTGGGCAACATTTCTCTGACTGAGACCGTCCTGAAGCCATGCAATGGCTCTTCCACGATCAACAAGGCTTAGCTGACGTCGAGGCATGTTCAACATTCAAGTCGGATGAAACATGTGACTCGTACAGAATCGTTGGCGGAATTTAAGCAAAAACGGCACATGATGCACGTGCATTTGATGAGACAAGGATAAGTAAAAGTTGTGTTCGATAGCCATGATCGACGTCAATGGATGTCATTTTTTGTTTGAATTTGACATTTCTCAAAGCACCTCCTGATGCACCCACAAACTCGTTCAATCTCCATGATTTGCACATGGTCCTTCAATTTGATTCGCGTATCATCAATTCTTTTCAAAACATTTCTCAAAATACAACCAACTGGGTGTACACAATGATTGACATTTTCATACTCTCGAAATGATGTGACCCCTAACTTCATGAGTAATTGTTTCAGATGGTTCATTACACATTGAACAAACTGGCGATTTAACAAATCTGATTTTAAATAAATAAACTTACTTTAGCATGGTTGGACGTTTCCTGGCTTCGGCGCGTTTCTGTGAGCGAGAATGAGATGACAAGATTAGTCATATGAATGTGTCACTCACCAGTATTGTCATGTCGCTCCCGACCTCGCTATCAGTTACCCAGTACTTAATTAGTGAATAAGTTATAAATAGAAAACAAATAACAAACTATTTAATCTTAAGTGCAAAGGGAAACTAGGTCTATGGACAGTGTTCGGCTGGACAACCTTTCATTATTAAGAAACTCTATACCCGCTTATTGATTGGTAGATCGCGTGAACAGGTGCATCCCTCAGTCATTTCTGATCATTACAGGGTCGTATCCCTCCAGGGAAGTTCTCCAGTGCCTAACGGTACTCATGGAATCCACTAAAATGCTGAACGCCCACGACCTACATTACTTCAGGCATTTCTCCCACATTACGCAGGCCTTTCCGTGACAAAAATGAAATGCTGTTCAAAGTGGCGGGAATGAAAGTGACAAACCCCTTTCTATTTTTTATCAAAACTCTGCCAAAGTCAGAGTGGATAATACGATGTCGACTATATCATGAGCATGTGTTTATGCATCACTTTCCAAAAGGTGTGCCTTTCCTGCCTCACCGGTGGCACCCGACGTAAACACATACCAAAGCAAGTCAGTTGTTAACCAGAAGAACAAAACACGAACCATAGTTAGAATAAAGAATTGGATCAGACATCCATTTTTGTTTCTGAATTTGCTAATGACCCCTACATGTCAACACTAAAACGTTTTGAAAGCTTAACCGAGGCCTTACTGTAACCTTGATTAAACAACGTCTCAGGCTCTTTGGAATCTTGGTACAAGGAGCATGCTCGATTGTACCTCGGAAATTGTGAAAGAGCTGAAGCTGCAGTTTTTGACATTCTACCAGGGATTAATCGTATAGTTGATCATGAAGTCATCTCAAATAAGTGACTTGGATCATTGACAGGAAAATTAGAACACATTAAACCCGCCCGTCAATAAAAGTGTTTTATCCAAACTACTATATATTACTAATTTACGTATGTATCTGAACATTGGTGACGGTCTTTCTTGGTTAATTTCCCTCAATACTTTCAATCTTGTAACATAATTCAAAATTATGAACCAACGCAGTATTTTATTTAAGTTTAATGAATTTTTCCTGTTTCCTAAATAAAATTGAGTGCCGCGTTTAGAAACCGAATAAAAGAATGATTTTACACGTCCTTAACAGTTAGCTGTTATGTATTCATCTCAGTATCAGCGTGTTCATCTGGATCTATGCAATTTGTTAGAAACATTTAAGTAAACTAAGCGGCAAAAGAAAGTATAGGTTGGCAATTTGTAATTTTCCTAAAAACAGCGATAACTGGTGGAAAGTGGGTATGGGGAATATGACTGCCTAGGAACGGGTACCAAAAAACATCTCATCCGTAAGCGCCACCTTTGACGGCGCTCTCGCGGTGACAATAAAATGGCGAAACAGGTTTCCCGCCTATGGCATAAACTGCACGTGCATGTTAGCTGTATAAATGCAGGGTATAACCACACGTGACGAAAGCACATAAAAGAAATACCACGAGTGTCACAGGAGCAGAGAGAGAGAGAGAGAGAGAGAGAGAGAGAGAGAGAGAGAGAGAGAGAGGGGGAGCCATCGGTATGGCCAAAATTGGGGCAACACAGGTCCAAGATTTTGTTGTACACCACTGACAGTAGCCAGGCTGATTCAACGGTACAGGCAGACAGGGAGGACACAGGACAGGCCTAGAACCGGACGACCCCGAGTGACAACACCACTGGAAGACGGTCAGATACGGCTCATTCACCTGCGAAACAGATTCGTAACGGCGACGGCGACAGCGACAGCAGCGTTGGGAAATCCCATAAGCCAACGTACAGTACTACAACAACTTCGTTCCGAGGATTGGTACTCACTGCTGAATATCGACGCCTGATGAGCGAGGCAGGTTCGACGCTGGCAAGTGAGAAATTGACGTCGGGTGCTGTTTACTGATGAAAGTCGGTTTAACTTGTTTCGAAATGTCGGCAGAGAACGAGTTTGACGACGCAAAGGGGAACGTTTGGCTCCGGCGTGTATTCGAGAGGTCCATCCATTCGGCAGGGGAGGTTTTCATGGTGTGGGGCGGTACTTGTTGAGATCAGAAGACTGATTTGGTGATTATACAGGGAAACCTGAACGCTGTGCAGTACAGAGACCAAGTGTTGCAACCAGTTGTGCTTCCGTTCTTACAAAACCAACAGCAGGGGACATTGTTTCAACACGACAATGCCAGGCCCCATACTGCAAGACTGACTCGGAACTTTCTAAACCAGCAGAACGCTGACGTTTTGTCCCGGCCTTCCCACTCACCCGATATGAATCCTATTGAACATCTGTGGGACCATCTTGACAGACAGATTAGAGCACGCCATCAGCCTCCCGTCAACAGACAAGAATTGCAGCAGGCCCTGAGAGACGAGTGGCAACGGATTACAGTCCACGTCATCGGAAGACTGACGTCATCGATGAGGCGGCGTATCACAGCACGCATTGAGACAGCTGGAGGTCATACACACTATTGAAGTTTTTGGTGACATTTCAGACAACTTTTGAAAATGAAATTTCTTACCACACCATTGTTTAACTTGAACTTAAATTACCTGTGATTGCACAATTTCATTCAAACTGTGGTTGATCAATCATTTGTTACCCCTCCCTAGATTATATTATAATTCACAACAAAACCTCTTCATGTTATTTTTTTATCGGTCATGGAACTCGACCTATACTTTCTTTTGCCGCTCAGTTTATCTTATGTCCTCTTTTTGCTGTGTGTGTGTGTTCAAATACACATTATTTGTTAGAATCAGTTACATATTGGAAATATTAGTTTGAACTGTAACTCAAATGAAATTCAGCTAATTTGAAATGAATGTAGAGTATGGCAGGTGTCACATGACACTATGTGGATAAAATGAACCGCCAGCTCGACGAAGTCAAAACTTACCCCCAAAATGTGGTTTTAGCGTTTGAGCTGACATTGTGGAAGGGTTTGGACTGCTTGCCATTGAGAAGGTTACCTCTGTAACCGAATATTCTAATTCTCTGATATTAAAGACATGTGAGATACATTCAATGACAGATTAGAGACTATCACTTGTATCGGTGTCAGCAATAAGACAAATGTGTTTCAGGACACGTCTATAAAAGAGAATGTCGACAGGAGAATATCACCACTTGTTCTTTGGATCCAAGATGGCGTCCTTCGTGCTTGTTCTCCTGCTGTTCGCGTGCTCAGTCCAACTATCGTACTCGCATGGACGTCCGACATACGTCGACAAATACGATGTGTACCCTGGCTAAACAGTACTATTCTGACTACTGTCAAGTCAACCAAGCGTCAGGACCCGCACCAGTCCGAAACCCCGGGAAGCAGACACGAGGACCAAGGAAACCATGGTCAAGGAATCCCAAATCAAGGAAACCCAAATCAAGGAAACCCAAATCAAGGAATCCCAAATCAAGGAATCCCGAATCAAGGAATCCCAAATCAAGGAAACCCAAATCAAGGAATCCAAAATCGAGGAAACCCAAATCAAGGAAACCCAAATCAAGGAATCCCAAATCAAGGAAACCCAAATCAAGGAGACGCAAATCAAGGAAACCCAAATCAAGGAAACCCAAATCAAGGACCACAGCATCACCGACCCCAGCACATCCGACCACAGCACCACCGACCCCACCACCTCCGACCACAGCACCACCGACCCCAGCACCACCGACCACAGCACCACCGACTCCACCACGACCGACCACTGCACCACCGACCCCAGCACCGACCACAGCACCACCGACCCCACCACCGACCACAGCACCACCGACTCCACCACCGACCACAGCACCACCGACCCCACCACCGACCACAGCACCACCGACTCCACCAGCACCGACCACAGCACCACCGACCCCACCGCCGACCACAGCACCACCGACTCCACCACCGACCACAGCACCACCGACTCCACCACCGACCACAGCACCACCGACCCCACCACCGACCACAGCACCACCGACCCCACCACCGACCACAGCACCACCCACCCCACCACCGACCACAGCACCACCGACTCCACCACCGACCACAGCACCACCGACCCCACCACCGACCACAGCACCACCGACTCCACCACCGACCACAGCACCACCGACCCCACCACCAACCACAGCACCACCGACCCCACCACCAGCAGAATCAACAATGCCGACAGTCGCGGATAAAACCTTCTGTATGAACCTTTCCTTTCCCTTGATATCAATGCTGTACATGTAGACATTATGTCAGATGGTTTGAGTCCTTAGAAACGTGGAGACGTTTGTGTTGGGTCGGTCTTCCATACACTAGTATTTGTTCCACGTGTAATGATATTAAGAGCCTTGGTGTGGTGCAATAAGACAGGTCATAATCTCAAATATAATCTTATAAATGGCAGCTCATTTGGACATGCATGGTATCACACTGAGTTTTGGTTTCATGACACTTATTTAGAATTGTAGGCCTGTAGGTATTTCACAATAGAGAAGTGTTCCTTTGAGAGGTAGAAGTCTTACAGTGAGAATGTTGAATGCATACTGGTGTTAAATGAATTGTTTTTTATCTTGATTTCAGTAACTGGGTGCACACAACGATGTGTCCGCAGCGACCTAGTGGCTTCACTGTGTGGTACTGGGACGCTGGCGACGAAATGTGACAATCTTCTAGTTGCAGAGTATGTGGGCTCGTATACCTGCTGTTCAGGTTAATACAGGTAAGCCTCAGACCTTATTGCAAATGTTTTCATAATTTTGATGCTGGCAAACACATTCCTTTCGTAAATTGGATAGAACTGTTTCTGTTTCAACACATTATCTAAACAATACTTGCATCAGTGTATCAGTTCAAACAATTCAGACAGCTGAAATAGCGCCATGTTAAACAACGACTTGTAAATTTAACACCAATATGTTGATACCCATATAGAGTAATTCAATTAGTTCACAAATATAAATTGTCAATGCAAGAGAATAACCAACGAAACAGATTCCATTTGAAAATTATATGAATGAACCATTGAAAATTAGGGATGACCACTGGTGTTCCCGAAAAGAGTAAGCATCCGCCATTCAAACAATTTGCATAGAAATGTGAGTATTTATTGCCTGACGCCACGACATGGGCCCTTTGTGCCCAATCAAGTAGGTATACAACAATCCATGACTTACCACCAGCGTAATTTCAGACACAGTTTTGTTTTTATATTTTAGCGGACGTCGGAACATCTGCAGTGCATACGGAACTCGGTGAAATAGTGTCTTGGTATGGAGGGGAATCCAAGTTCAACCCCTATGTGTGGTAGATCGATTACAATGGTTAACAGGGCATCAGTTGCCCTTGGTAACAGTTTACTTAAGATTCTCTGCGAAGGTACTGTCAATATTAATAGTATGCACAATTATCAATTATCACGGTTGTACACAAAATGTTACATATCAGTTGGATATAGATTCTTCTCCTTCCTATACCTAAATGCAAATAAACTGATGTTCCAGCAATTTGTGTTTTGTCTTCGCTTCGTGATTTCCGGTGGGGTAGCCTGGAGGTTAAAGCGTTCGCGGCCCGGGTTCTATTCCCAACATGAGTACAATATCTGCAATCTCATGTTGGATAATGTCCAGCTAAACAAGCAGTAATCCAAAATGGCCTTACGCTTCTGGAATCCAACATGTCCCCTGATGTCACACATCACTGAGCACATTTAGCTGTGGAAGTGAAGCCGTGTTTGATTAATCAGCAGTTATGTTGATGATGCAATGTCATCATGACGTTCCTAACTTTGTTGATAGGAACCTCACATCAAACCGTTTAGTAACTTCCTGTCACATGATGGTCACGTGGTGACGGTGTTGATGGCGAGGCGTCCACGCAGGCAAAAGATGGTGATTTGAGTGCAAATGTCTAGCACCCGACTGACTGCACAGGTGTGCATACTCCCCAGGGAGTTGAGAACGATAACTGGATGTGAGGTGTAACGTCGCGTCCAAGATTATTGCACTTATATACAAATGCCGATTTTATACAGCTAGCACCCTGATATACCATGTCGCAGTTTAACATGAATATCCCACTCAGACACAGTATACTGACTTCGAACAGACCAGTCCTTGTTTTTGCCCCTTAATGCCGAGCCCCAGACAGGGTAACAACAAGTACCATCTTTGAACGTATATTCGATATGACAAGGCCGGGGATCGATCCCCGGAGCTTGCGCTCTCCGGGCGAACGCTCTACCACTAGACCACTGAGGTGGTAATACAAACGGATTCACTGGTCGGGGAACTAAAAGCGCCTGTGAACAGGTACTCAGAAACTTCAGCGCTATATAAATTGATAAAATTAGATTACTGCACTGAACGTCACTTATTTCGTTTCGTTGTCTACATTGTGTTTCGTGTTTATGATTGAATAAACAGCCTGTGAACTAATTATTGGTGCCTGATATTTTTCCGTGATCAATTGATTTGCCCATGTTTGTGTTTGTGACCGGTGCACGCTCACTTTTTCACGAACACTTGGTATCCTCACAATTTGATTATGCTTCATAAACACATGCTCAAGGCACAGTCGGAATCAGACAATGGACTCATTTTTGACATGATTTTGGAAAGGGTTTGTCACTTTCATAGTAAAGGGGTTGTGTGAGTGAGTAACAAAAATTATGTGTGTTATACTACACAAAGCTTGTTTACTTATTTACTAAATATATTATAATGGTTATAATTGTTTGTCGCCATATAAAACATAAGCAACAAAACCCCTTCCATATTCATAAAAATAAAGCGACAAAACCCTTTCCATATCCAATAGAAAACACTGCATAAAGCAGAGTCGATTGTAGAATTTCGACTGTATCATGAGCACGTGTTTATGAATCAATATCAAAGAGTAATGATACCAGGTGTTCGCGAAAAGGTAAGCGTATCCTGCCCCACCGGTGGCACCCGTCACAAACACATGCAAAGGGAAGTCAGTTGTTCACCGTAGTACGTTGATGCGCAGTTTGGGGCAATGGCGACGACATGCTAACGTGGTATGATTTCAACACCTATTTCAATTAATAGAAATAAGGTAAATTCTTATGTTTCTGGTATGTAATATGTATACTTTTCCTGTTAACGGGGTCCCGGCGCCTGTGTTGTTTTTATGATCGGTCGTCAGAAGAAAGATCGGCTTTGAAAAACGACTACCAGAGGACGGTTTCGGAACTAAATCATAAAATTACACATGGACCATGCACTTCCTCCGTGCACCCTGTTAGGTGGTCATTCTTAATTTTGAAACTTAAGAGAAAATCGTCCAATTGCTCTGAGCAATTGGTATTGTAAACTTTTATTATCCACAGCAACACGTTAGTTCTTTTCTTGGAATTTGGAACAGGTTTCGGCAGTTACAAAATGTTAACAATCGGCTCTGCACAAGGCGCAAATAACTGAGTACCTCAAGCAGCGAAACATTACCAGAATGCAATGGCCAGCCAGAGTCCTCACCTTTCCCAAACAGAGTATGCCTGGGACATGATCCGGAGACGTTCGCGGCGATGTCAAAGGCCATCCGCTACGTTAGCAGAACTGGGCCAGGCGCTGCAAGAGGATTTGACAGGACTATCTCAATTTGTCATTGGAAGATTGATTTGGACCATGCCATTCTGTATGAACAAATGTTTGACCAATCGTGGCGGTGTGTAGTGTTTCAGCATGAGTAATTTTTATTCGGTTTCTGCTGGCTAAGAAAGGCTTTGTTGTATTTTCCTTATTTCATGTATTGTCCGAAATTGCCGGACGTATCCTGCAAGCACGCTGGATGTATACATTCATCAAAGGAACTATTTTAAAATCGTTTTCCTGAAGGACCAGATGGTGAGTGAGTTGGGTATAACGCCGCTTTTAACAATATTCCACTTATATCACAGCGTGTCAGCTTTATGTGGGAGGAAAGCCTGAAGAGATGCATGTCTCAAAAGTTTAAATCTCGCACAAGGATGTATCCATCTGGTGGACATATTTCGTGGATGGGAATACAGGGTCTTGTACCTCAGTAATATGAGCGCGATCTTAATTGCTACAATTCCTATTGTTATCCCGAGAATTAGAATAAACATGATAGTGTTTACCTTTGTCATGCCGAAATTGTTTACGGTGATGGCACTGTATATAATTATTCTTGTGATATCTGACCCAAAGGTATAACGGGTGTACAGCTCATTACAAGCAGCGTCAATCATACTGAGGACGACAACTGTCAGTACATAATGAACAAACTGGCGATTCGACATTTCCAATTTCAAATAAATAAACTTACTTTAGCATGGTTGGACGTTTCCTGGCTTCGCCGCGCTACTGTGAGCGAGAATGAGATGACAAGATTAGTCATATGAGTGTGTCACTCACCAGTATTGTCATGTCGCTCCCGACCTCGCTATCAGTTACCCAGTACTTAATTAGTGAATAAGTTATAAATAGAAAACAAATAACAAACTATTTAATCTTAAGTGCAAAGGGAAACTAGGTCTATGGACAGTGTTCGCCTGGACAACCTTTCATTATTAAGAAACTCTATACCCGCTTATTGATTGGTAGATCGCGTGAACAGGTGCATCCCTCAGTCATTTCAGAATCTGATCATCACAGGGTCGTATCCCTCAAGGGAAGTTCTCCAGTGCCTAACGGTACTCATGGAATCCACTAAAATGCTGAACGTCTACGACCTTCATTACTTCAGGCATTTCTCCCACATTACGCAGACCTTTCCGTGACAAAAATGAAATGCTGTTCAAAGTGGCGTGAATGAAAGTGACAAACATGTCAACACTAAAACGTTTTAAAAGCTTTACTGAGGCCTTACTGTAATCTTGATTAAACAACGTCTCAGGCTCTTTGGAATCTTGGTACAAGGAGCATGCTCGATTGTACCTCGGAAATTGTGAAAGAGCTGAAGCTGCCGTTTTTGACATTCTACCAGGGATTAATCGTACAGTTGATCATGAAGTCATCTCAAATAAGTGACTTGGATAATTGACAGGAAAATAAAAACACATTTAACCCGCCTGTCAATAAAAGTGTTTTATCCAAACTACTATATATTACTAATTTACCTATGTATCTGGACATTGGTTAATTTCCCTCAATACTTTCAATCTTGGAACATAATTCAAAATTATGAACCAACGCAGTATTTTATTTAAGTTTAATGAAATTTTCCTGTTTCTTGAATAATGTCGAGTGCCGCGTTCAGAAACAGAGTAAAAGAATTATGTTTCACGTTCTTAACAGTTAGCTGTTATGTATTCATCTCAGTATCAGCGTGTTCATCTGCATCTATACAATTATGTAGAAACATTTAAGTAAACTAAGCGGCAAAAGAAATTATAGGTTGGCAATTTGTAATTTTTCAAAAAACAGCGATAACTGGTGGAAAGTGGGTATGGGGAATATGACTGCACAGGAACGGGTACCAAAAAACATCTCACCCGTACGCGCCACCTTTGACGGCGCTCGTGCGGTGACAAAAAAATGGTGAAACAGGTTTCCCGCCTATGGCATAAATTGCACGTGCATGTTAGCTGTATAAATGCGTTCGTCTGCAGGGTATAGCAACACTTGACGAAAGCACACAAAAGAAATACCACGACTGTCACAGGAGCAGAGAGAGAGAGAGAGAGCCATCGGTATGGCCGAAATTGGGGCAACACAGGTCCAAATTGCAAGGTTTGGTTGTACACCACTGACAGTAGCCAGGCTGATTCAACGGTACAGGCAGACAGGGAGGACAGGCCTAGAACCGGACGACCCCGAGTGTCACACCACTGGAAGACGGTCAGATACGGCTCATTCACCTGCGAAACCGATTCGTAACGGCGACGGCGACGGCAGCAACAGCGTTGGGAAATCCCATAAGCCAACGTACAGTACTACGACGACTTCGTTCCGAGGAATGGTACTGACTGCTAAACATCGGCGCCTGAGACTGCGATGGGCGAGGCAGGTTCGACGCTGGCAAGTGAGAAATTGGCGTCGGGTGCTGTTTACTGATGAAAGTCGGTTTAACTTGTTTCGAAATGACGGCAGTGAACGAGTTTATCGACGCAGAAGGGAACGTTTGGCTCCGGCGTGTATTCTAGAGGTCCATCCATTCGGCAGGGGAGGTGTCATGGTGTGGGGCGGTATTTGTGGAGATTAGAAGACTGATTTGGTGATTATACAGGGAAACCTGAACGCTGTGCAGTACAGAGACCAAGTGTTGCAGCCAGTTGTGCTTCCGTTCTTACAAAACCAACAGCAGGGGACATTGTTGCAACACGACAATGCCGTGGGACTATCTGACAGACAGATTAGAGCACGCCATCCGTCTCCCGTCAACAGACAAGAATTGCAGCAGGCCCTTAGAGACGAGTGGCAACGGATTACAGTCCACGTCATCGGAAGACTGACGTCATCGATGAGGCGGCGTATCACAGCATGCATTGAGGCAGCTGGAGGTCATACACGCTATTAAAGGCAACTGTGTTGGCAACGAACTTGTAGTGTGTATGACAATTTTTTGGTGACATTTCAGACAACTTTTGAAAATGAATTTTCTTACCCCACCATTGTTTACCTCGAGCTTACATTACCTGTGATTGCACAATTTCATTCAAACTGTGGTTGATCATGGAACTCGACCTATACCTATACTTTCTTTTGCTGCCCAGTTTATCTTATGTCCTCTTTTTGCTACGTTGAAGTGGGTTCAAAAACGCATCATTTGTTAGAATGAGTTACATATTGGAAATATTAATTTGAACTGTAACTCAAATGAAATTCAGCTAATTTGAAATGAATGTAGAGTATGGCAGGTGTCACATGACACTATGTGGATAAAATGAACCGCCAGCTTGACGAAGTCAATACTTAACCCCAAAATGTGGTTTTAGCGTTTCAGCTGACATTGTGGAAGGGTTTGGACTGATTGTACATTTTATTACACATGGAGGGACGTATCTCGTTTTGAGAACTATGAACTAGTGTCAAACATTGAGGTTACCATCAAGATCAAATGCTGACGATTAACTCATCTTCAATCGGTTGTCTAAAGACAATCCTCTTATATTAACTTAATTTCCTGTATTTTTAATAAGTTGCATAAATTAATCGCATAGGCATCTATTACTGGGTGCTTGCCATTGAGAAGGTTACCTCTGTAACCGAATATTCTAATTCTCTGATATTAAAGACATGTGGGATACATTCAATAACAGATTAGAGACTATCACTTGTATCGGTGTCAGCAATAAGACAAATGTGTTTCAGGACACGTCTATAAAAGAGAATGTCGACAGGAGAATATAACTACTTGTTCTTTGGATCCAAGATGGCGTCCTTCGTGCTTGTTCTCCTGCTGTTCGCGTGCTCAGTCCAACTATCGTACTCTCATGGACGTCCGACATACGTCGACAAATACGATATTAACTTCATGTGTACACTGGCTAAAAAGTACTATTCTGACTACTGTCAAGTCAACCAAGCGTCAGGACCCGCACCAGTCCGAAACCCCGGGAAGCAGACACGAGGACCAAGGAAACCATGGTCAAGGAATCCAAAATCAAGGAAACCCAAATCAAGGAAACCCAAATCAAAGGAACCAGAGCCGACCACAGCACCACCGACCCCACCACCACCGACCACAGCACCACCGACTCCACCAGCACCGACCACAGCACCACCGACCCCAGCACCGACCACAGCACCACCGACCCCACCACCGACCACAGCACCACCGACTCCACCACCGACCACAGCACCACCGACTCCACCACCAACCACAGCACCACCGACCCCACCACCAGCAGAATCAACAATGCCGACAGTCGCGGATAAAACCTTCTGTATGAACCTTTCCTTTCCCTTGATATCAATGCTGTACATGTAGACATTATGTCAGATGGTTTGAGTCCATAGAAACGTGGAGACGTTTGTGTTGGGTCGGTCTTCGATACACTAGTATTTGTTCCACGTGTAATGATATTAAGAGCCTTGGTGTTGTGCAATAAGACAGGTCATAATCTCAAATATAATCTTATAAATGGCAGCTCATTTGGACATGCATGGTATCACACTGAGTTTTGGTTTCATGACACTTATTTAGAACTGTAGGCCTGTAGGTATTTCACAATAGAGAAGTGTTCCTTTGAGAGGTAGAAGTCTTACAGTGAGAATGTTGAATGCATACTGGTGTTTATTGAATTGTTTTTTATCTTGATTTCAGTAACTGGGTGCACACAACGATGTGTCCGCAGCGACCTAGTCGCTTCACTGTGTAGTACTGGGACGCTGGCGACGAAATGTGACAATCTTCTTGTTGCAGACTATGTGGGCTCGTATACCTGCTGTTCAGGTTAAAACAGGTAAGCCTTTGACCTTATTGCAAATGTTTACATAATTTTGATGCTGGCAAACACATTCCTTTCGTAAATTGGATAGAACTGTTTCTGTTTCAACACATTATCTAAACAATACTTGCATCAGTGTATCAGTTCAAACAATTCAGACAGCTGAAATAGCGCCATGTTAAACAACGACTTATAGAGTATTTATGGCTTTGCCAGTAAATTTAACACCACTATTTTGATGCCCATTTGGAGTAATTCAATTAGTTCACAAATATAAATTGTCAATGCAAGAGAATAACCGGATTATCCAACGAAACAGATTCCATTTGAAAATTATATGAATGAACAATTGAAAATTAGGGATGACCACTTGTGTTCCCGAAAAGGGTAAGCATCCGCCATTCAAACAATTTGCATAGAAATGTAAGTATTTATTGCCTGACGCCACGACATGGGCCCTTTGTGCCCAATCAAGTAGGTATACAACAATCCATGACTTACCACCAGCGTAATTTCAGACACAGTTTTGTTTTTATATTTTAGCGGACGTCGGAACACTCACTGCATACGGAACTCGGTGAAATAGTGTCTTGGTATGAAGGGGAATCCAAGTTCAACCCCTATGTGTGGTAGATCGATTACAATGGTTAACAGGGCATCAGTTGCCCTTGGTAACAGTTTACTTAAGATTCTCTGCGAAGGTAATGTCAATATTAATAGTATGCACAATTATAAATTATCACGGTTGTACACAAAATGTTACATATCAGTTGGATATAGATTCTTCTCCTTCCTATACCTAAATATAAATAAACTGATGTTCCAGCAATTTGTGTTTTGTCTTCACTTCGTGATTTCCGGTGGGGTAGCCTGGAGGTTAAAGCGTTCGCGGGCCGGGTTCTATTCCCAACATGAGTACAATATCTGCAATCACATGTTGGATTATGTCCAGCTAAACAAGCAGTAATCCAAAATGGCCTTACGCTTCTGGAATCCAACATGTCCCGTGATGTCACACATCACTGAGCTCATTTAGCTGTGGAAGTGAAGCCGTGTTTGATTGATCAGCAGTTATGTTGATGATGCAATGTCATCATGACGTTCCTAACTTTGTTGATAGGAACCTCACATCAAACCGTTTAGTAACTTCCTGTCACATGATGGTCACGTGGTGACGGTGTTGATGGCGAGGCGTCCACGCAAGCAAAAGATGGTGATTTGAGTGCAAATGTCTAGCACCCGACTGACTGCACAGGTGTGCATACTCCCCAGGGAGTTGAGAACGATAACTGGATGTGAGATGTAACGTCGCGTCCAAGATTATTGCACTTATATACAAATGCCGATTTTATACAGGTAGCACCCTGATATACCATGTCGCAGTTTAACATGAATATCCCACTCAGACACAGTATACTGACTTCGAACAGACCAGTCCTTGTTTTTGCCCCTTAATGCCGAGCCCCAGACAGGGTAACAACAAGTACCATCTTTGAACGTATATTCGATATGACAAGGCCGGGGATCGATCCCCGGAGCTTGCGCTCTCCGGGCGAACGCTCTACCACTAGACCACTGAGGTGGTAATACAAACGGATTCACTGGTCGGGGAACTAAAAGCGCCTGTGAACAGGTACTCTGAAACTTCAGCGCTATATAAATTGATAAAATTAGATTACTGCACTGAACGTCACTTATTTCGTTTCGTTGTCTACATTGTGTTTCGTGTTTATGATTGAATAAACAGCCTGTGAACTAACTATTGGTGCCTGATATTTTTCCGTGATCAATTGATTTGCCCATGTTTGTGTTTGTGACCGGTGCACGCTCACTTTTTCACGAACACTTGGTATCCTCACAATTTGATTATGCTTCATAAACACATGCTCAAGGCATAGTCGGAATCAGACAATGGACTCATTTTTGACATGATTTTGGAAAGGGTTTGTCACTTTCATAGTAAAGGGGTTGTGTGAGTGAGTAACAAAAATTATGTGTGTTATACTACACAAAGCTTGTTTACTTATTTACTTAATATATTATAATGGTTATAATTGTTTGTCGCCATATAAAACATAAGCAACAAAACCCCTTCCATATTCATAAAAATAAAGCGACAAAACCCTTTCCATATCCAATAGAAAACACTGCATAAAGCAGAGTCGATTGTAGAATTTCGACTGTATCATGAGCACGTGTTTATGAATCAATATCAAAAAGTAATGATACCAGGTGTTCGCGAAACGGTAAGCGTATCCTGCCCCACCGGTGGCACCCGTCACAAACACATGCAAAGGGAAGTCAGTTGTTCACCGTAGTACGTTGATGCGCAGTTTGGGGCAATTGCGACGACATGCTAACGTGGTATGATTTCAACACCTATTTCAATTAATAGAAATAAGGTAAATTCTTATGTTTCTGGTATGTAATATGTATACTTTTCCTGTTAACGGGGTCCCGGCGCCTGTGTTGTTTTCATGATCGGTCGTCAGAAGAAAGATCGGCTTTGAAAAACGACTACCAGAGGACGGTTTCGGGACTAAATCATAAAATTCCACATGGACCATGCACTTCCTCCGTGCACCCTGTTATGTGGTCATTCTTAATTTTGACACTTAAGAGAAAATCGTCCAATTGCTCTGAGCAATTGGTATTGTAAACTTTTATTATCCACAGCAACACGTTAGTTCTTTTCTTGGAATTTGGAACAGGTTTCTGCAGTTACAAAATGTTAACAATCGGCTCCGCACAAGGCGCAAATAACTGAGTACCTCAAGCAGCGAAACATTACCAGAATGCAATGGCCAGCCAGAGTCTTCACCTTTCCCCAACAGAGTATGCCTTGGACATGATCCGGAGACGTGCGCGGCGATGTCAAAGGCCATCCGCTACGTTAGCAGAACTGGGCCAGGCGCTGCAAGAGAAGTTGACAGGACTCTCTCAATTTGTCATTGGAAGATTGATTCGGACCATGCCATTCTGTATGAACAAATGTTTGACCAATCGTGGCGGTATGTAGTGTTTCAGCATAAGTAATTTTTATTCGGTTTCTGCTGGCTTAGAAAGGCTTTGTTGTATTTTCCTTATTTAATGTATTGTCCGAAATTGCCGGACGTATCCTGCAAGCACGCTGGATGTATACATTCATCAAAGGAACTATTTTAAAATCGTTTTCCTGAAGGACCAGATAGTGAGTGAGTTTGGTTTAACGCCGCTTTTAACAGTATTCCACTTATATCACAGCGTGTCAGCTTTGTGTGGGGGGAAAGCCCGAAGAGATGAATGTCTCAAAAGTTTAAATCTTGCACAAGGATGTATCCATCTGGTGGACATATTTCGTGGATCGGAATATAGGGTCAGTCTTGTACCTCAGTAATATGAGCGCGATCTTAATTGCTACAATCTAATTTGTTATCCCGAGAATTAGAATAAACACGATCATTACAAGCAACGTCAATCATACTGAGGACGACAACTGTCAGTACATAATGAACAAACTGGCGATTCGACATTTCCAATTTTAAATAAATAAACTTACTTTAGGATGGTTGGACGTTTCCTGGCTTCGCCGCGTTACTGTGAGCGAGAATGAGATGACAAGATTAGTCATATGAGTGTGTCACTCACCAGTATTGTCATGTCGCTCCCGACCTCGCTATCAGTTACCCAGTACTTAATTAGTGAATAAGTTATAAATAGAAAACAAATAACAAACTATTTAATCTTAAGTGCAAAGGGAAACTAGGTCTATGGACAGTGTTCGCCTGGACAACCTTTCATTATTAAGAAACTCTATACCCGCTTATTGATTGGTAGATCGCGTGAACAGGTGCATCCCTCAGTCATTTCAGAATCTGATCATCACAGGGTCACATCCCTCCAGGGAAGTTCTCCAGTGCCTAACGGTACTCATGGAATCCACTAAAATGCTGAACGTCTACGACCTTCATTACTTCAGGCATTTCTCCCACATTACGCAGACCTTTCCGTGACAAAAATGAAATGCTGTTCAAAGTGGCGTGAATGAAAGTGACAAACATGTCAACACTAAAACGTTTTGAAAGCTTTACTGAGGCCTTACTGTAATCTTGATTAAACAACGTCTCAGGCTCTTTGGAATCTTGGTACAAGGAGCATGCTCGATTGTACCTCGGAAATTGTGAAAGAGCTGAAGCTGCCGTTTTTGACATTCTACCAGGGATTAATCGTACAGTTGATCATGAAGTCATCTCAAATAAGTGACTTGGATCATTGACAGGAAAATAAGAACACATTTAACCCGCTTGACAATTAAAGTGTTTTATCCAAACTACTATATATTACTAATTAACGTATGTATCTGGACATTGGTTAATTTCCCTCAATACTTTCAATCTTGGAACATAATTCAAAATTATGAACCAACGCAGTATTTTATTTAAGTTTAATGAAATTTTCCTGTTTCTTGAATAATGTCGAGTGCCGCGTTCAGAAACAGAGTAAAAGAATTATGTTTCACGTTCTTAACAGTTAGCTGTTATGTATTCATCTCAGTATCAGCGTGTTCATCTGCATCTATACAATTATGTAGAAACATTTAAGTAAACTAAGCGGCAAAAGAAAGTATAGGTTGGCAATTTGTAATTTTCCAAAAAAACAGCGATAACTGGTGGAAAGTGGGTATGGGGAATATGACTGCCTAGGAACGGGTACCAAAAAACATCTCACCCGTGCGCGTCACTTTTGACGGCGCTCGTGCGTTGACAATAAAGTGGTGAAACAGGTTTCCCGCCTATGGCATAAACTGCACGTGCATGTTAGCTATATAAATGCGTTCGTCTGCAGGGTAAAACCACACTTGACGAAAGCACACAAAATAAATACCACGACTGTCACAGGAGCAGAGAGAGAGAGAGAGAGAGAGAGAGAGAGAGAGAGAGAGAGAGAGAGAGAGAGAGAGAGAGAGAGAGAGAGAGCCATCGGTATGGCCGAAATTGGGGCAACACAGGTCCAAATTGCAAGGTTTGGTTGTAAACCACTGACAGTAGCCAGGCTGATTCAACGGTACAGGCAGACAGGGAGGACAGGCCTAGAACCGGACGACCCCGAGTGACAACACCACCGGAAGACGGTCAGATACGTCTCATTCACCTGCGAAACCGATTCGTAACGGCGACGGCGACGGCAGCAACAGCGTTTGGAAATCCCATAAGCCAACGTACAGTACTACGACGACTTCTTTCCGAGGAATGGTACTGACTGCTAAACATCGGCGCCTGAGACTACGATGGGCGAGGCAGGTTCGACGCTGGCAAGTGAGAAATTGGCGTCGGGTGCTGTTTACTGATGAAAGTCGGTTTAACTTGTTTCGAAATGACGGCAGTGAACGAGTTTATCGACGCAGAAGGGAACGTTTGGCTCCGGCGTGTATTCTAGAGGTCCATCCATTCGGCAGGGGAGGTGTCATGGTGTGGGGCGGTATTTGTGGAGATCAGAAGACTGAGTTGGTGATTATACAGGGAAACCTGAACGCTGTGCAGTACAGAGACCAAGTGTTGCAGCCAGTTGTGCTTCCGTTCTTACAAAACCAACAGCAGGGGACATTGTTTCAACACGACAATGCCGTGGGACTATCTGAAAGACAGATTAGAGCACGCCATCCGTCTCCCGTCAACAGACAAGAATTGCAGCAGGTCCTTAGAGACGAGTGGCAACGGATTACAGTCCACGTCATCGATGAGGCGGCGTATCACAGCATTCATTGAGGCAGCTGGAGGTCATACACGCTATTAAAGGCAACTGTGTTGGCAATGAACTTGTAGTGTGTCTGACAATTGTTTGGTGACATTT